GTGTGTGTGTGTGTGTGTGTGTGTGTGTATGGGTATATATATATATGTATACATGCTTTACAGAAAAATTATAATTAATTTTATTTTTATATAGATAAGTGTTTTCTTATATCCGTTTATTTTCAGGCGAGCAGACAGATGTTGGGTGTGTTGCCTTGTGTTTTCTTGGTGTATATTTAATATATTTTCTAATCTCTCTTTCAATCTTTCCTATTACATTTCCTCTTTTTCTCCTTTCCTCTTTATTTAAAAAAAGTCACTGGTGATGAAGAAATTAAGAAACTAATATTCAGTTCTTTTTTCTGCTGAAGTTACAAAAAAGAGACTTATAAGACAAAATAAGAGCTTATTTTTCACAAAAAAAGTGACTTGGAATGGACAATTTTTTAAACTTTTAAATCAGTAGTTTGTTTTCTTAGTGGACATTTGCTGAACTTCTAAATAAAACAGTAAATGAAATAAAATGATTTATGTTATTATCACAAACTGCTCCACACTGTGCTGCCCTGGGAAAAAACACTTTACCTGGCAATCTTGTCACTGCAGGACATGGTAAGCAGCCTCTCTCCCTGAAGAACCCCGTCCCAGGTCTGGATGGTGTTGCTGGACCTCACGGGGATGGTGCCCTCTCCCGACTCAATTTTGGTCCTCAGCTGGCCTCTTGCTTTGCGGTTCGGATGTCTGTCTCCCTGATCTGAGCAGGATGTCACATAAGGATCCACGATTAAAAGACATTAGAAGTGAGATAGACGATTTGTGTAAAGGTCATGTTTATTTCAACAAACCACATACAAAATCGCCAATAAACTGGCCCGCGTAGTCGGAAACTAAGAGGAAATGAAAAGAAACGCGCTTATCACAAATCACACATCAGTGCAATCAGCTGCTGAAACACACAAAATCTATTTCACAGTTCCCATTCTACGACCGCTTGCAGAAAAAACACACAATAGTTGCATCTGCACTTTTATGTTCCATGATGGACGTGGTGGCGACTAAATAGTCAATCGGAGTGTTTACTGACAGAGCCAGTGACTCCAAATGAAGAAAGCAAACAAAAAAAAGGGCYCCCACATTATGTTATCAAAGTTTTCTGATGTTCCACCAGCAGGCGCCATCTATTCAGTGACTAATTGAATGTGGCTGTTTTCTATTCGGTCTGCCATGTGCAATGGAAAGCAGTCTGACAACAGTAAGAGGGAGGTTAATCAGACAGACAGAGTGGGTGGGCTGGCTAGGGGACAGACTGATAGAGGAAAACAGAAAATGACAAAACACTCTAATTACTAGTGCCTTGTTTAAATGTGTCTGTAATGCGTATTTGGACAGTGGAGTGAAATTCTAATTAAATGAAACCAAGCATATGAGGAAAACCTTTAAATTTAATTAAATAAAAATAAACACTGGTTGAAACTGAATTCTGAGTAGAGAAGGGACTAAATTAACAAAACACGTCGGTGGATTGGAGGGGGCTAAAAAACGACACGGGGTTGATGCGAAGCAGTACCTTCCACTCCGGCTTCGTGTGGAGAAAAAATCCTGGCATCTCCGCAGGGCGAGGTGCTGATGTAGAGGTGGAACTGAACGTTATCCTTTAACCTGTAGCCTCCCTTGTCACACAAGTCAAATATCGACTTCTGGTTCTCCTCTTTGCTGTTGCTATAACAAAATAATTGTAAAATTACACAAACAGGCAACAAAAAATAAAGTAATTATTATTCGACATGATTTGTCATTATGATTTATTTAATTGGGCACAGACCAAATTAAATTGGGGCAAATAGTATTTGTGTCATCAACAAACTAAATAAGTTTATTTAATAAAGCTGGTTGGACACCATCCACTGACCTGAGAAAGAACTCCAGCTGGGTGTAGAGGTATCTGATGAGCGAGCGTCGGGCGATGATCTCAGCRTGGCAGTCATTGAGTGCCAGGCCGCGGTCGCTCATGTACTCACCGTTGATGCATTTGGTTCCTGTAGAAACGCAAATAACCTGCGCTTCCTTCACATCTGTCCCTGTTGGAGGGGCAATTACGACAAGATTTAGTTGCTGGTAAATGACACGCATCCTCCAAGTGCACACTGGTCCTAATGTGTTTATGTGCTGAAGGCAAACACACCGAGGACAGATTTAAACACTCAATGTTAGCCTGCTTTACTCCCGTCGAACCTAATTAATCGTAAAACCAGGAACATATGTGAGGCTTTTTTAAACAAAGCGCCAAAAGATCAATGTCATAAACATCTTTTATTTGCTGCTGCACGTGTTGGAGCTAGTGGGCAATTCAAATACAGAAAGATGCTCTAAAGGAACAAAGAAAAATCAAAAATTGGTTTATTTTTTTTGTTTAATTCATTTCATTAAAAAAATACACAAAAAAACCCTAAAAAACAATAAAAACAAAAACAAATCACAATTAAAATGAAAGGAGGCAGAAAGAAAAAAAAATCTTATACYTGCCCCTTTTTTCCTAAAATATTTTCAAGCAATAATAATCAAGAAACAAAACAAAATAAAAGCATCAATTCAGTTCTGAGTGCAGAAAAAAGCTGGTGCACCGATTTTAAAGGGGACATATCCTGCAAAATCCATTTTTATTAGCTGTTAAATATATTTTGTTGTAGAAAAGTTGAATTTGGTTTATGGATGGACACATTTTCTGTTGTTGACATCTTTTAAATACATTGCAAAAAATTTTTTTTCTGCCATCTAGAAAATATAACCCTCCTCTCTCAAACCGGAGTGGACCGGTTTGGAAGCAGGAGGGGGGCGGGGCTTGAAGCATCTTAAAGGAACAGTAACAAAACAAGCTGCTTTGGGAGACACACCAGTAAAGTGGTGAAAGAGGGGCTGTTAAAGTTAGAATAAGAAGGAATTCAGACCAAAGCATTGTATTTTCACTTTATAAAGACCCCAATTGAATGATTTAAATGTGAAAAGGAAGGATTTAAAAGCAGGATATACCTACTTTAAGGTAACAGTTTTATTTTTTATTTTTTCCCCTATGGAGCTATGTCTTTGCACAAAAATGATTTATTACAATGTTTTGTAAATTGCAAAGTAAAAATCAACATGAAAACTGTTTGTGATTTTACTGTAAAAATGTGTTACATTTGTGCCATATCTCCCACCCCTACCCCTAACACTACAGTTTGTGAAACTGAGACACTGAGCCTCCATCGTTTTCCTGGATAACAGTGTGAAAAGGAGTCAAACTTACTGAAAATATAAACACATCCACCTCATCAGCTGTTACCTGTTGTCATCACGACTCCTGCCAGGACTTTTCGACGGGCATGCGGGGAGGTGAAGTTGTCCGTCAGCTCGCTGAACTTATCGACCACCAGGCGAGAGACGGCATCAGCTAGAACCTGGAATCACACGCACACACACACAGGCGTGCAGGAGAACACATCCAAAAAGCCACACAAACTGAATCATCGCCTCAGATATGTCAGCTTACAAAGCATGTCTGATGTTATCCTCCCCTGGTGCGCTATCTATCTGTCACCGCGCTCGTATTTAGCATCAAACAAGCGCTGAAACAGCAACAAGTGAAACTGGGTTGACCCCCTGAAGTAAAGATAACAGTCTTTAAGACTGAGCCGCTAAGAGTTTTGGCATGGCAGTTCTAGTTCAGCATCTCCCTTCTGACAACAAATCACAGCAAAAAAACAAACGAGTAAACTGGAGCATCAGACGGGAACAAAGTGTTCATCTGATTTCCACCGTGTTTAAACTTCCAGCTAAAGCTAAACCAAAACTTAAGGAACCTCAAATGAACTTCACACATATTTTGCTCTTAAATAACCATTTTTCAAAGCTGGCTCTTTAACCACTGCTAATTTGATGGAAAATGAGGACAAGCAAGAGAAGAGATGATGGCTGGATGAACACAAATTAAAAAGAAATCAGTCTTATATTAGCTCCCTGCTACTTCAGAGTCATCTTAAAACCAGATCATTTGAGATTTGATCACTAAGGGAATTCATTTTTATTCTTTAAGGGTAACAAAACACTTACAATAGAGTATTAGTTATTTTTCTTAAATAAATGTTTCTTAAACCAAAGAATATATTTTAGTAGATTATTTTGTTTGGTATAAGAAAAACAATACACAAATATTCAAAATTTAGGTTTAGTTGTAAAAAAAAAGCACACACATTATTCCGATAAGTGCGTTGCCAGATGGAAACTGCTGCAGAAATTAAATATGAAGCAAAAAAAAAAAAAATCGAGTAATTAGAAGAAAATGGGCTGCTTGTTGAATGAATCGAATGACAAGAGAAGRGAACGAGCAAAGAAAGGAGAAAATGCTTTAGGGATGGACTGTTGACAATGTGTCAAGCTGATTAGCTTTGCCGACTCCGTTATCTCTCTTCACACACTGGTAGTCATCTCTAACAAGTCATGTAACTTCCTTTAGTCTCCGCTAGCCTGATGTGAATAAGGTTTTAAAGATAACCTTGTGGAGCAGTACAGTTGAATAAACCTACTTTTATCTGAGAAAATAAATCAAAAGAAATGCTTTTCTTCATAGTTTTAGGAACAATCTCTACCTGAGCATACTACAGCRATGTCGGTTATCGGATCAATAATGATTCATTCTTGGAGCTATAAATTATTACTGGACAAACCATCTGAGAAATTTTCAGATTTATATGTGACATTATTAACCACAAATAACTATTACAAAGAACTGAACTATTTAGGATTTATCTAATTGATAGATTCCACTACACAGCTAACAAAACATTTTCAACACTTTCTAGTTAATGAGGGTGTTTCTCAGGGCTCTGCCCTAAGTCCATTTCTTTCATTTATGCATGCTTCTTTTAGGCAATATCATTTGGACATGTGACAGTATTTTTGCTGTTATGCTGATGATAGCCTGCTTTATCTACAAGCTAAAACAGATGCAACTACAGCGACCAATGTTACTGTTATGTAGACATAAAAACGTGAATGATCAGTTTTCAACAGTGGAATTCTTATAAATCCAAAGTCCACTTACAGAAATATGTCTGATAAAATGATAAAATGAAAGATAAAATGTCTTGGCTGACTCATACATATCAAGTTGTACGGATTGTCCGTAATTTACACAGATTTTCCATCATTTTGCAGGAATACAGACGTATCGAGCAATCTCACTGATTTTTTTCAAGTTTTACAGATTTTTTCACAAACTCGGTTTAAAATTTATTCAGCATGTCAGAGCCTATAGGACGTTAGAAAAACAATAAATAATAATAATAATCCATTTCCACCCCAATCTGCTGCTAGAAATTAGTTAATTCGTCCTTTCCTTCTGGTTTTGCTGCACTGCCTAAACCCCGCCCCCTCCCCGGCTGACGGTCCACCTGCACCCCCTACCCTGTCTGATTAATACAAATGTTTTGCGAAAATTAAAGATTTTTGAGGCTCATTATACAGGTAAACGTCTGAAGGGTTTGACATGTATGTCGTACTTACAAAAAACATTATGGATAAGCACTAGTAGAAGATGAAGAGTCATTCATTCATATAAGAGAATTGTAGCTTGATAGTTTTAGCTATACACTCGATTCCCTGCTTTCTAACTACAGTAATTCTGGTCACCTGTGCAATCAGTTCATTCATATGACTAATGGATGGCTTAAAATGAAAACGTCAACATATTAAAACTTGCAGGCAACTTGGGTTGTGATTCTGATAGATACTTCAGATCACAAACATGAAAATACAAGAGCTACAAAAAAATTCTTACCTGGGGTAGGTGAAGCTGCAACCCTTCTCTTGGTATAGGTTGCCGGGATGGTGTCTGGTCAAGCTGCATGTTGAACAGAGCAGACAGAGCAGCTTGTGCTGCCCGAGCTTTAGCCAGTTTCTTGTTGCGTCCTGAGCCTTCAAATGTCTGTGCGTCCACCGTTACCGACATCACAAAATTCTTGGCATGACTTTCACCACTTTCTGAAACAAACTCGTATTTGAGGCCTGGTCTGAGCTCATTGAGGATCATGACTGGGTTTTTGCCAGTGGATGGTGAACTGAATGCAGATGAAGGGGGCAATGGGGCCTGGGCAAGGTTGCTCCCAGGTGGTGTAGGCAACGGGTATTCCCCTAGTGAGTTTGTACCGTTGGAACCTAGATAGAAGGATTCTTCAGGTACAGCTGGTGTCTCGAAGCCATTGAAGAGCATGTCTGGAAAGTCGGCTTGGTCAGATGTAAAGTCTGTGTTCACTGTTAAAGTTCGGCCCATGGCCAGGTGAGCCTCCGATGCATTGGGGAACTGGACAAAAGAACGTAGCGCTTTCTCAGCTGCATTCAGTTTAGCCTTCTTCTTGGTCGGGCCCATGCCCTCAAACACCTGACCATTAACCTCCACAGTCATGACAAAAACTGGTGCATGGACTGGTCCTGTCTGAGACAGCAGTTTGTATTGTAGACCCGGTTTGATTTCATTCAGTTGCATCAGAGCATTCTTGGGCAGCACTGGCCCAGGTGTTTTCTTGCGCTTCTTGGCTCGGAACTTGGAATGGGCTTGACCATTGTTACCCTCCTCCAATGGACGCTTTCGACTGCCAGGGCCACTGCCATTGGGGAGCTGATCAGCGACTCCCATCCCGTCTTTGCAGGACACGTTGTCCAGGTTTCGGTTTTCCTTAACGTCAGTGCTGCTTGAACCTGCGGTGCCCAGAAAGAGTAACTTACAACGCCTTCGTTGCAGGATCTTGTAAATGCAAAATTTATAGATTCCTTTATCACACTTTGGAACTGAACCAATGATTTGTGTTCCATTATTACAACAAGATTATTTCCTTTACAAACTAACACAATAACATATATTCAACTGATAATGCCAAAAAAACCCTGAATACTACGAATGTGTCTACTTAAAATAATCAAACAATAAGTAAACTGAATATTTTTCAAATTTTATCTAACTGTGAAAGTGAAGTTAGGGTAAAAATGTGTTGAAATTGTAGAAGTTGCCCACAATTACAGGTCCTAAATATAATGCAAAAATAAAAAATAAAAATGGACACATATTAGCCCTGACACACACACCCACACACACCCAACCAGTGGTTTCTTGTTCACCTAATCGTTAAGAGCGTGAACTTCTGAAGAAAAATGAAAAAGCATCGTGAATGGATATACTGTAGTTGGGGAACACATATCACTGATTCCAGTTAGCAAAGCGGATGGAATGTTGGGAAAAATTTTCATTTATAACATCCTTCAGCAAAGGCTTGATAGGTTACTCCTTGCGGTACTCAAGAGAAAGAGAGGCCGCAGTGTGCATGAGTGGGGTTGTAGGTCGGGTTGAGGGAGTGCAGGGGAGCAGGGGGAGTAGTGCAGGGGGAGGAGCTGAGGACCAGGCAAACAGGAGAGTACATCAAAGAGGCAGAAGGAGAAGACTCCACCTACTGCAGGATCCTAAAGGCTTGACTGATGACACGGTGGAGGTTAAAAGGCAGCTTACTCCATTTACATGATTTTTTTAAAGAATGGCTGCCATATTTGAAATAATGACAGAAAGCTTGAATCAAAACATGGTCTCTAATGAGGTGCCTTTCATAAGACCCTGCGCCTCTGAGTTCCCTCCCCATGGAGCTTGTCAGAGAGCACAGTGTTGATAAAATGTATCGACATGCCGTTACCATCTGCACATCGCCACTGACATGTCTTGAGGCAGAGAAAAATATTCTAAGATCACAAATGCATTTTTTACGAGTCAAAGCAGATGCAGTTTTGCTACTGTGTGCATGCAATTATAGTAAAATATTGATATTTGTGCTTTGCTAAAACAAAAGCAAAAAAGTGGGGGCAACATGACCGCGTAGTTTCTCAGAAAATCTATTAATAATTATAATGGTGTGAGTTACACTGAGCAAAGAACTCAAAAGAAATGTGTAAAGTTAAAAATATACATGTGACACTGTGGCTCTCATTTTTCTCTGTGCAAAAGTTAAAATGCATGGAAGGTTTGAGTCCTTTGCAATTGGGGAATCCTCCATTTAGAGTTTTGCATAGAATATTTGGTAACTATCAGAATCTGTCATTGACAGTTATATTTATTTGGTATTAATATAAAATGAAACATAAACAAATAAAGAACAACTAATGACATCTCTAGCATGCTGCACAAATACAGTGAAGGAAATGGCACACAGAAAAATCTGGAGTCCACCTTCTTCATTGCAAAAATATTTACTGAACACAAACTTTTAAATAAGAACTGAAATTTATTGCCATTTGTTTCTAATTATATTCATGAACATGTACRAATTTTGGACCAGATAAGATGACAAAATGCACAAAGCAAGACCCATGCACTTATTAAATTATGGCACGGACGTGCAGCTGTGCTCAGCATCATGCTGTGTCATGATGTGTGTAATCAGTATATCAGCACACATGTATTAGTTATAAAATATCACAATAAAAGAAATGTTTGGATATGATGGATATAAAAGTGAATGTTTAAAGGTTGAAGTTCTGCAGACAAAAAAAGTCCTTAATCATAATTTATTTGTTGGCACAACTTGCTGGTTGGGGCTTGAATTTAGGTTGTTTCATTTGATACAAGTTTCATGAGCTGTTCAGTTTGTGTAGCAACACGCTACACAAGTTCAACACCCTGCTCCTGTTTTCTCTCTTGATATTAAAGAAACAAGATTGTGTGAGCTAGGGCTGTTTCAACTTCAAATATTTATTTTATGTATATCTTTGGCAGTAAAAAGAACAAAAATAAAAGAATGAGAAGCTTTGAAAGGCAACAGAAACTATTTTGTAACTGCCTGTTTGACAGAACAACGTACTTGCCTACAAAGCAAAAACACCAAGTGTGACACTACAATCGGAACTTTTGGGCATTGCTACGGTGCCAGGGAACTTTGAATGTGTTTTTAAAATTGTCGTGGGTGTACAAGGGAAACCTTGTTCCAGAGTTCAAACAAGCACATCTAATTAAAGTTCAATAAGCTGGGGCTGAGACAAATGGAGGAAGAAAATTTTTGAAATATGACCTGAAACACCGCAGATGAAATGATAAGTTCCCTAAAATGTTTTTGCTAAAATTAGCTTGACATTTGCATCTGGATGCACAGCTTTGTGTCTTTTTGTTTACTAAAACAGAGAAAATAATCAGCTCTTTTGTGGTGGATATTGGTGAAAAAATTATTTTTTCCCCCATTTGTATGAAATCGATTATGTTGTGTTTTAACTTAAGACTGGGTTATTTTGGTTTTAATTAAACACTGGTTAAATAAAGAGGAGAAAAATCTGTTCACACTGATTACACATCAGATAAAGACAGAATATTAAACAAGCAAGCAGATAGAGATGAGGGAAAGTACAGGCAGACGTGGTTAAAATATGGTAAAAATCGATTATCGGAAAGGAAAAAAAAGACAAATGAGATAAACGAGTGTAAACTCACTCATATTCTCTTCCTCATCGAGATCCATGGTGTCAGATTTGTTTTGACCTGAGAGCAGCCTCGCCCCCACTGCACCTGGGGATTGGAGGACAGAAAGCGGGGCGGCGTGAGCACCGATGGAGTGACACACAAGCACATAAACATATTCCAAGAGGCCGAGCAGCTACAGCGATGATGAATTTCTTGCTCCACTCACCAGCTCGCACACACAAAAAAACATGCACACACAGTGTGTAAGTTGGTCCTGATGTAAGCATATAAATATTCAGAGATGGAGAGATATCAAGGTGAGGGAAGGGGCCAGGGCTTAATAGCAGGAGCAGTCTATTGTGACTTTAATATTCCTACGATTAAACCTCATTTCCTCGTGCCTGCCGACAGATATACAGCTGGTGACATGGCCAAGTTGCTCCACTGCTGCACACACGTGACTTATCCAAAGGTTGAATGAGCGATTAAAACTGTATTGACCTTTCACACAAACATCAAATCAAACCAATTTCTGTAATCTCATCTTTTTTTACTACTTGACAACAACCAGCTGATTCTTTAGTAATATCAACTTTTTTATCTTCGATTTTGAACAACTTAGTTTGCTGAAACGTTCAATTTATTCAAAATGAACAAATGAGTAATTTTGAAAGTCAAATAAAAATCCACCATATTTTTTCATGTATAATACGATCTCATGTATAATACGACCCCCCCACCTTTTGAGCTTAAAAAGCATAAAAAATTTAATCCTCAAACTACCTCCAATTTCATACAGACGAGGATTTTTCGGCCTTTGCAGTCTTTWTACACATCAGTAAAATGATCATTGGACTGTTCATTTTATTTTAACAACATATGTCCTAAAAGGTATTTTGACAACAAATATATATCAGCTGTAGCAGCATCATATGAATTCTGGCACTTTACACATAGTCCACCAGGAGGCGCCAACACAAAAGTCAGAGACTTCTCATGAGATTTGGACCATCTTGTGGGGGGAAAAGCAGAGTACTTCCTACTCGCGAGCGCCCCCTCTGGTGGGGAAACGTTTTTTTCAGGGATACAAACTTTTTCAGAACACCGGTAGACGGCAGCCATTACAGACGAACATGTGTTTGTTGTTGTTTGAGGAGCAGCTCGGTCACACGCTAATGTCATTAGTTTGTTATCATTACTAAGGTGCAGGAATACTTTTTTTCTCCCCTTTTTTCACATCAAGTCTCCAGCCTGGATCTGTTATTATCTCACTCTGAAGCACGGAGGAGTGTCAGAGGTAAGCTCGTTTCAACTGCTTTTTACGTCGTGGTCTCATTTCCGGACTCAGGCATTTTGTGAATGAAGCCGATATTTCAGTTAAAATACACAAGTAAAAATATTTATCCGAGTATAGTTCTACCCCCCAACTTTATGGATGATTTTATGAATTAAATTTTACGTATTATACTTGAATAAATACGGTAATTTAAAGGTTCCTTATACACTAGGATCTACTTTAAATGTATTTTTAGTTGTGTTTTATAATGTTGTGAACCTAAACAAGTTTTTATAATCGATTTTCAAATCGAATCAAGAGATGCCTGAAGTTTTGAGATTGAGACAATTTTCTACACATAAAAACATAAACAAACACTTTTTGTTCATTTCAGAGCCAATGCTGACACAGACTTGGCCTATTGTTACTGTTGAGCTGTTCAGTGAACCAGTGTCAGCCCCCAACCAATTCCAGCCTGTTCAGTTGTAGCTGACGTCTGTGCAGAAATGCAAGACTCTGCCCTCCAGCATTCCAACCTGTGTGCTGCCATACTGCACAGAATGACACTGGAGTCAATTTTTATGCATCATTTCAGCCAGTTAATGTATATTTCAAAGTCTTCAGGAAAATATATCATCAGAGGGTTAAGCCAATTGGAAAATTCGACCACCGGCTCGTGCTTCGTGTCATCGCAAAGTGGAGAGTTTTACAGGAATTTAAACTGCATGACTCAGCTGCAAATCTAGCTGCTGAAAAGTTACAGAAATAAACAAAATGTTGCTGAAAACAGAGCAGATGTGCTCAGATTGACAGACTACAAAAAGGAAAGTAAAAGCAGCAAAAAGTGAACGCCATAAAAACAAAGAGAAAGCAGAAAAAAGATGGCACAGTGATACAGAACAGATTGTGCTGATTCTACTTTCTATCTGCCTTCCATCATTGCCCCCATTCCTCAGCCAGACACTGTCTTAAGCTAAAGTAAATGGGCTAATTAATCTGGGCTAATGGTGGGTGACAGCAAATATGCTAGCACAATTATCACCCTATTAACGACTCATATTCCAACACATAATTGAAAATGAAAAGGTGGGGTGAAGAGAGTATGGATGGGTGAAGGTCCAACAGAATGGAAGATGAGAGTCATTTTTCTCAGGTAGCAGGAGCCAGGTGCCTAATATCTCGACACACTCATGCAGAACTGAAATCGACACTCCAGACCTGTTACTTTTGTTACACGTGATGCAATCCAATTTTTTTTTTTTGGTTTCCAGAGTTTGAAATACAGACGCATTAGAGCTGCCATATGAGCACAAAACCAAATGTAAAAAACATGATTGCAGTTTCATTCATATGTGTCTGTTTTATTATTATGTCTCTGGAACGTGCAGGGTGGGCTGTCGAGTCTAATCAGCACCCAATGCAAATGTGTCTGTCAGCTTTGATTTTCACATTAGATTGCCTCAGTCATAAATCAGTAAATAATTCTGAAATCAGGTGCAATCATGAGCTCAAGTTTCACACAGGAGTCTAAGTGTGTGGGATGTGTGCCTTGATCAGAAAACTGGGGTGCAAATGACTGAACTTCAGAAGAGTAGTGGGCTTCATATATGAAATAAACAAATCGAATGAGTTACATATCTTTTGTTGTGGAAATGCATTTCATTTTCATTTTATTTAACCAATGTGTTGGTTTTTGCAACTCTCAAAGCATTTGAAATGTGATTATTAGAACAAATCAGGGCTGTTAGAAAGATGTTTATTGGTTTTAACCAAGAATAAGCCAAAGCCGACGTACAGTGTCAAACTAGAGTGATTCCTAGTACAAAATAAAGGCGCGTGTCACAGCAGCAAACAAAAGGACCTGCTGGTGGACACCAGCGGTGATGGAGGCCGTCAGGCTGAAGGAGGCGGCCATCTGGACTTGGCTTTCCCAGAGGACTCCAGGTACAGGGTGGCAAAGAGGGTTGCAGCTTCGGTGGTTGCAGATGCAAGAACTTGGGCATAGGAGGCCATAGAGAAGGTTGGTCTTGATGAGGTTCTGGCAAACCATTTGGTGACTCAGAAAAGGAAAGCTTTCCCTGTCCTAGACTGCATGGTTTGGGTGGGGAACTGCTGACCAGGACTGAGGATACCACTGGCTGGTGGAAGGAACACTTCTATGTTCCAACCCTCACCTGTGGTCATGAGACGTGTATCATGATCCCGGATACAAGCGGCCGAAATGAGCTTCCTTCATAGTGTGGCCAGGCTTAGCCTTAGAGATAGGGTGAGTAGCTCTCGGGGGAGCTCTGAGTAGAGCCGTTGCTCCTCCACATCGAAAGGAATCAGTTGAGGTCGTTCAGGCATCTGATCAGGACGCCTCCTGAATGCCTCTCTATTTTTAGAGGTGTTCCGGGCATGTCCCACAAGTAGGGGGCCCAGAGGAAGACCCAGGACTCACTGGAGGGATTAAGTATCCTCTCTGGCCTGGGAATGCCTCTGGGTCCTCCAGGACAAGCTGGAAAGTGTCACTGGGGAGAGCAAGGTCTGGGTTTCTCTTGTGGACCTGTTGCCTCCGCGAACTGACTACGGATAAGTGGAAGAAGATGGATATTGTACAAAATGCATAACAAAAGCATCCATGGTCTATTATTTGATTGTCCAACAAGTTTAAAAAAGCACTGATTAGTTCCAAATTTCATTTGTTCCTTCAAACAACAAATTTATGCTTACAATTTTTAATAGTGCAATAAAACACGTCTCATTTAAAAAAATATTAGTGACATATTTTGGTTCACTTTTAGTGCGTTTAACATATTTTCTCAAAAAGTCAACAAGAATGTCAAAAAAAAAAACTCATAAGACTTGAAAATACAAAGCTCACTTTGTGGTGTTGATTTTTGGTCACTGAAGTGTCCAGAACTAATTCAGACATTTGCATCCATGTGGAATCATAAAACACTGAGAAGTGGGACATAATCTAAGATTTGACTACTGTTTGAACTCAAATATCAGAAGTAGAGAATTTCAAGTGAGTCCAAAGAATAAAGGCTATCTCCCTCCGCTTGAATAAACGTCATCAAGCGGTTGTGGTTCCAGGTAATTCTGAGTGGACGCCAAGGGAGGCGGGGTAAGGAGAAAGATGAGAAAGAAGATGAAAAGCCTCAAATTCAATCTGGCATGGTTAGAGGGGCTGAGGGGGGAAATAAGGCGTTTTTGATTTGTCTCTCATCCCTCGCCTGCGCTGTGACGGAGCGATAGAGCGTCGTCACTGAGGAGGGAGTGCCAGCAGTGGCCAAACGGACGGGAGGAGGTAGGGGCGGGCAGGTGGAAAGGTAGAGGTGAGTGAAGATCAGAGGATGAGAAAGATAGAAAATACAATCCTATTCCAAGTAAAAGAGAATCATTATCTTCTTTAAAAGGAAGGCAGATGGAAAGGTTTGCCCTTGGCAGGCCGAGCAGTTCATACTGTAGCAAACCTGTCTATAAAAGGCTGCTGTTGGAACACTTTCAAGGCCATAAAATAACACAAAAAGGACACAATCGTATTGGTAGGAAGAGCTAATCTGAAAATATTACAAAAGAGATTTAATCTTTGTTAGGAGGTCTGTGACAGTTTATCTCAAAGGGATAAATAAAAAAAACGTCTTCTTTTTTTTCTTGGTTAACTTCAGTAAATTTAGCAATGCACCACTGGGCGGTTAATGATAAAGGGTAGGAGTGTCACAGAAAGCATCCAAACATTACTAAACTACTAACAGGCAAACTGCAGGGTATGGTAAGAACCAGCACAATCACTACGTGAACATTTTCTGTTTATTTATTTATTTTTTGTGTCTTTGCTCTTGAGAACCAAACACAAGTTTATGTGCATTTTCACGGATACAAGCAAACTATCAGAGGGATTTTAGTGCCTTAGGGAAAACAATTTTCTGTAGCTTCTCTTTGCTGGTGTTTTTCTCTAACATAATCGCTTGTTGTCAACTCGAAAAACATTATCTTTATCTCACACAATGGGAATGCCCAGAACTGATGCCAAATGGCAGCCTGTTGGAGAATATATTTAATCTGTTTTCAGACCAGGGAGGCAATGATGCGTCTTGTTTTTATTTTTATTTTTTGTAACAATATCATTTCTTGCTACTTCACCAGCAATTCACCTACAATTCCTTTAGTTAGAGTTATTCGCTAAACGTATTTGCCTGACCTTTCATGGCAAATTGTAAGTGACAGCTCTTGAAATGCATGGGACACGGGTCAGCCTCACTCACAGGACAGTTCAGACTCCCCCAAAGCCTGAGATTGTAGTCTGCTCCCCTTTTTATTTGCTGACCAGTCAGTCTGAATTTAGGAGGCGAGTTCTGCACTGCAGGTTTGTCTGAACAGTCTGAAGTCCTCTTACTGGGAGTAAGAAGTTTTACCTTACTGAACAATAAACAACTTTAAATTATGTGTTAAATGTGAAACTATTAAGTTTCAAATTTATTAGGGATGCACGATAAGTATTGATATCGGTATCAGCTGATATTGGTCATTTTTTAGAATATCGGTATCAGTCCGATTTGTAAAACATGGCCGATATTAATGTCCGATATYGATTTCCCACTTTTTATCTTTGTGTTTCCGTTTTGGGAGGGGAGAAGGTTGGTTGAGCGGCATCTGTTTGATTAGGATTGTGATATTGACGCTGCGCAGCCAGGAATAAGTAGGGAGCCATGTCAGAGGTCTGGTTGTTTATTTACAGTTTCAAAAAAGACCCAAGTGTGTTTTTGCGTATAAGTACAATATAATTTGTATGTTTGTGTAATATCGGTAAATATCGGTTTTCGGCCATAACACCAATAATTACATCGGATATCAATTTCGGCTGAAATTTTCATATTGGTGCATCCCTAAAATTTATTAAATATTGTGTAAAAGTGGTGCCTTTAATTGTAGGTTATTCAATGCTGCTCAAAATCCTTATCCACACCTCTGATGAATGGCATATCAGTAGTTTGTATTTTATTTAAAATGACGTAGGATCAAAAAGATTTTCTCTCTTCTGTCATCTAGATAATAAATGCTCAAATACAGAAAGAAAACACACAAAAAAGAACAAAAGCTGTGATTTGTATCAGTGATTACGCAACAACAGTCATCCTAATGAAACAATTGTTTTAAAACATGCTTTTCAATCATCTTATTTTGTGATTCTAAACTCATAATTTACTAAGTTTTTGAAAGCACCCAGGATGAAAAGTCTTATTTAGCTGAAAAACTCATTTAAAGAGAAGATTATGAATTGGCTACAGATATGTCAGTGACTGGAAGGCTACAATTTAACGTGATTGGTAATGAAGTGATTGGACAGAAGATTTTTATTGATAAAACCACATCAGCTTTCAATGAAGACAAAACCACGAAACTGAAATTGCAGCAGGAAATTAAATCTCGTGTTTTTTTAAAGGATGAATTTACTTGTGAGTCGTTTATTCAGCAGCTCAGCCTTGAATATTTTTCTTGAGTGTGCAGGGAGCATCAGTAGCACCAACAAGTGTGGTGGATTTCATACTGCACTGCTGTCAGCTAAGCTACATTAAATGACAACAGTATTCTTGCTGCTGCACCAACTGAACAGAGACAAGCTCAAAAACCACGAGCAGACGGTGAACCGCCATGCATTTTTACATATAATAAATTTACCAGTTTACACAAAAATGACATCTACTTCCTACAGCTCACAAAATGCATCTCTCATAATGTCTTTTAAAGTGCTACACAGTCAGTTCATACAACTGGTGTACTTATTTGCATTTTGTTTTCTTTTGCTGCTGCAACAATACAGATTTCCTCGTTTAGGGCTGAATAAAAAATTATAATTCTTTAATTCTTTTTATTTTTAAACAAACAACTTCCTTGGTCAACAGTCTGTTAAACTGACTGCTGCCATCTGTTTCCCTGGGATCACACTGCTGTTTGATATAAAAACAACAAAAACAACAGAACAGGAACTGCTGGTTAATGAAGCGTTACAGATCCTCGGCTGGGAGTTAAAAAAGAAAGAATGGACATTGTCCCCACAAAACCCAATGCCATTTGAACCCCTTTACACCAGCTAAATTAGAAGCAGTCCTCTCAAACTTAATGTTAGCGCAGCAACTAATCTTTTGCTTTAAATTAACTGGACAGAAGGCTTCAATTACCAGTTTTAAATTATTCTCCTGATTAGCCCTTCGTTGTTATTATTTTCAATTATAAATGATAAAATACTAGTTATCCTTTAGCAAATCATAAAATATTTTTTGTACTTGGTCCCCAAATATAAACATTGAATAAGAGTAAAACATATACAGAACATTTTTTTAAACATAAATTAAAATTTAACATGTAATTAAGCATGAAAGCTGGAATGTTTATTATGTTATTAACTATTAAAATCTCACAAAAACCTGATAGAATGCCTTACTTTAAACCCCCTCCCAAAAAAATAAAATAAAAAAGCTGAAGCGTACAGGCTGAAAGGTGGAAGAAACAAAACAAAGAAAAAAACWAAACTAAACAGAGAATCAACCTTTTACTGTGTTCCAGCTTTTTATATCTGACAGTCAGTCATTCATCATCACAGAAGGCTGACAGTGAAGGTAAGGGGAAAAAAGTGGTGAAAACAGAGTATCGATATGAATTTTTTATTTGATGTGTTTTATAGAAGGGCTGCGTTTCAAAAGGCTGGCAGAGTCAAGGTTCAAGGAAAAATGAAGGCAGAGGAAGATTAAGGAGACAGGGAAGAGATAATGGTGTCCCTGGATATATAGAAAAAAACATTATTATTTTTTTAAGCAGGATACTGACCTGTTCTTAGTTTTCCCATGTTTTGTTGTTCCTACTTCTATTGATTTTCCTTCTGAGGCTACACACGCCTCTCCTCCTGGGCAAAGCAAAACAAGTTTTTGGAGTGTTTTGCTACTTTAACAAAATATTGGTTTATAAACATGAAGAGTTTTTTTTTTTACTGTAGTACCTGGACAAAAATCACTTTGTATGCTTCGATTCTTCTCAACAACGATCCAACAAGTTTTGTACACATTTACTGTGAAAGCTCCCCTCATTAATTTTGATTCAAATGTTCAAGCTCAACCTCATTCTCATTCAAAAGTTATCCTTTAACTTATATTGGATCTATTATTTATACCATCAGATTCTTGTGTTTCTCACCCTAAACACAATATTCAGCCTCGTCCTCACTTTTTTTCTTCAATAATTTTACAATAACACACACAGATACAAATACACAAACATCAGGCTGACTTCAGACGGGGTCATAAATCACCAGAGCGGGTGGCCATGAATCCCTCCAGCATTAGCAGGGCTGTGGGAGGGCATTCAGCTTGGCTGCTGGACCAAAGAAGAAGCTATCGCTAAATGGCTCTCGTTACTTCTCGTGTCCTTCGAGGCCATGAGGACCCACTGCTCTGCTTCTGATCATTAAACACCAGTAACTGCTGACATCACGGGAAATAAGCGTAGTTCAAATAAAGAAACAGAACCATACCTCGGTCGTTAAATAAAAAAAGAACACATTTTCTTTTAGCTTGCTTGAGCAAGTTATCAAACTTGTATCCACTTTTCCTGATTTCCCAGGTTAGAGCTGTCAGTTACTGTAAAAACTTCACCACTGGTTTTGACTTGCATTGCAAATAAAAAAAGGGCTGTTTGAACATGAGAGTTTGACACAGTAAAATAAATGCCAGAATGATTGGAAAAGTGTGGTGTTTCCTGCTATACGACAATAACACAGGGACTAATTAATCTCATTAAGCAAAAGTGTTTTTGTAGTGCAGGAAAACGTTTTTAATCTTTGTCACGATGTGAATTTTCTGAAAACTGACATGCCGGTTTAAAAATATTTATGACGTGCACGGATAGATTTCATGCACGTCATAAATGTATGCAGACACTAACGTGCATCTACTGTGAAAACTTTTGTTAAGAGGGAAAGCTGTTATAATCTTAAGGGACTAGAGGTGTTTGTAAAACCTAAAATTCGAACAAATTTGAGGGACCGATGTACTACAGTGTAAGGAATAAGACTGTGTAAATATCTGGAAATTGATTATAAAAATGCTGGTTTATTGTTTTTGTTTAAAAGAATTATAAGTGCAGTTACAACAAACTGTGCTTGTAATTCTGAGCTCAGAACAGACATGCGACAGCTTTTAATAATGGTGGAGACGTTACTGCACTCTCTGGTTGAGCTGCAGGTGACGCACAGACTTTTTTTATTCATTTTTTTTTGTTCGCGAAGCAGCGCAGGCTGTGTGTCTTCCTTCTTTATTGAATAAAACGGGAGTAAAAGTTCTGTGCTGCTGGAAACTACAGCGCTGCTGTCCCTCCCTCCTCAAAAAAGCAGAAATCGCTGTATGAAAGTCAGCAGACGTGCAGTCAGGTCAGTTTTACACAATCAGAATAAAATGATCGGATTAAGTGTTTACATGCACGTCGTTCGGATTATCAATCGCCATAAACCAACTCTCTCATTCTGATTACAAATTCATTCGGATCRAGCTGAATCGCGTCAGAATAATCCGAATGGGGTGTTTACATGAYGCATTTTTATTCCGAATGGCCGTTTAATCTGATTACTTATGTCCATGTAAACGTAGCTAGTGACACAGGAACAGTAAAAGAAAAACATCAAGAAATAGTTTCTGTGCTGCAGAAAGAGGGTAACTTCAGCTGACCGTGGTTTGCTAATCAATAGTTTGTGCTTTTTATTATCAGCCGAGCTGTGATGGAAAGAAAAATACTGTCAAATACCGTGGTACTGGTATAATTGTTGAAAATACCGTGATATAAAATTTGAGTCATGTTGCCTACTTCTGTGTTTTGGTTTCATATTGGGGTCCCTTCTCTTTATTTTATTTATTGCATGGTAACACAACAACTTCAAAAAGTGATTAAAGATAGATTATTTATAAATATTTTTCCTGCTGGCTCACATTTAGGCRTTTAGTTGCATGGACTTGGAGAAATAGTTGCTGAACTGAAGCCAAGGTCAGAAACCGAGGGAAAATACTTTGGTAATAGTTAATAATATAATAACATAAATTACGAGGGAAATATGGGGATTTCCATCAAATATATTTCTAAATATCATTACTAAAAATGTTTTTCCCTCAAGGTAAAGWTCTCAGATGTTGAGTTGCATTGGTGGCAAAAGTAGAGAACCAGCGTAACAAGAGGAAGAGATCGAACACGACTGAGAGACCAAAATGAGCAATCGAAGATGAGGGGAAAGGAGGAGATGAAGAACAAAAAAGGGGCAAGGAAAGGGAAAGAAACCGGACAGAGACAAATAGCCACGGGAAATGGCTGTTGCAGGAGAGCCCACCTGTGAGACAACCCTCTCAGCAGCCCTAACGCAGACTGATAGGCCCACCGGGCAGCAACATCGCCCCAATCAATTCCATTTCTATGATTTTTTTTCCTTTATTCTGTAAGCAAAAATCACATCTAGGCTTACAAAACTCTCCTAAAAACTTGTATTCCCACTTTTGCTGCTATAAAAGAAAATAAGTAGATTTTTAGGCAGATTTTCTAGCCTGATTAGATCAAATAAGTCTCCCATTTTCAATTACTTCTTCAGTTCTTAAAAGTATGCATTGGACAACCCTGGTTGTGAGGAGATAATATTAAATGTTAACTACATAATTTATCACTAAGAAGCAGGAATGATTATTTAAAAGTCAACATAGAGGAAAATGAGCGCTAAAAGCAGGGAAAATCAGAAAATAAAGACAGGGAGGGGTACGAGTAAGGATCATCGTTAACTGACGATGCAGTCAGATAAGTGAATGCCACTGTCACCATTCTACAGTCCCATTACTTTCCCCAATAAGACTTTGGCAGCCCAGTGATTACCACAAAAAAAAGTATGAGAGTGAGAGGGAATCTTAATAGAAACAGGATCTGGGTATTTTTTCATTTTCTGTAAAGCTATAAGTCCCCCGGCCTTACCCTCGTCCTACCTGAGGTGACGTCTCCCGGCACTGACCAGGTAATGTCGTGTAATGGAGTACACGTGTGGCCTAATGGAGACAGGTCCGGGCAGAAAGGGGAGCGTCTGTCGTGCTACCAGATTGAAACTGATGGGCCAAAGTGAAGGGTCTGCAGAGCACCCTCCACACACCGTGGCCCCTCCAACCTCATCAGCTACACTCACACACACCTTAGATCAGAGTCCATTATTCAATTTAGCCCTTCTAATGACCAGTGAATTAGAATGCCAGAAGTGATTTGCCTTCTGAGCTCCACACTTGGATGTATGGACTTCCCTCCACTCTGCATAYTAAGAGGCAGCTATTCAGACACTGACACCCAATGAGCCTCCTCCAATCAGTGCACTTATAGGTTTGAATGAGAAAGATATCCAGGCAATGGGTTCTTAATGAAAATCACCTTCATGTTTCCGACTTTTAGAGAAAAGTCCAACTCATCTGCAGAGTGACAAAACATGCAAACACACACAAAACTATCATTTTTACCCAATCCGCTGTCTTCAATTACAATTTAACTATCTAAATTTGTGTTGATTGATAGATTTCCAGGCTTTTTTGTGTGTTTTTTTTTCTTTGTGTGTTGTCTACTTTTCCTCTACAGACTTTTCAGCTAGTTCTAGTGGCTTTTATAATTTATCACAGTACATTCAAAACTTGAAGAAAGTGAACAGGAAGTGAACAAAAAAGTGTCAGATCTAAAAAGATGATCTACAACAGATAACCTGTATCTAAAAAGTATTTTTTAGGAAACATTTAAAAATTAAATCCAGCAAAGCTTTAATATAAGACTTGTGTGACAAGTTATCAGCTAGTAGCTCTTTGGTAATCACCTTGTTTGTGCTAAAATTGCTTTATTTGTGTCAAACTATCTTAACTTTGGCATTTTTTGTATTACATGCAGCTAAAGAAATGGGAGTATACAGTGACAATTTGTGACAGGCTGCTAGTAAAAACGTCCCAACAGAAAATCAGGTAAAATTCAGTTTAAAATAGGTTATTTGCCAAGTTTTCTTAACACAACACTGGTTTATACAATTAGTTTAGGAGCTTTCTTTTTTCGTTTGAATGATTCATAAAGTTAAATGTACCGCCTGTTGTACATTCCCATATTGTGGTTACTTCCTCCCTCTTTATAGCCTACCAGGGACTTTGAATTAGCATAATAGGCTGTTTAAACAATTTGATTGGTTGTCTTCTTTTGATTGACACTTATTTTGACCAACTGGGTTCATCTATATACTCTACAGAGCCCGAAATGTGTGGCAAGCCACTCATGTCCCACCTGTCCGTGGTACATGTGACTGATTGACTAGGATCGGCCAATCAGCTTTGTTCTGACACCACAGCTGTGTAACCAATCAGGTTACCTTTTATTTGATATGCAGTTTTGGAAATAAAAAAAAACAGTTAATAGTTATAGTGTATTTTAACTTTAGTAACTAAATAATAGCTACAGTTACAAAAATTATGACCTGAAGTTAAAACGTCAGATTAATAGCTTTACATAGAGACTAGGCTTGTGAATTTACTCCAAAGTGTTCAAGGGCAATATTTAATTTAATTTGGGTTAGGGTAGGGACACAAGTTAGCAGGTTAAGTGGCTGAAGATACCAACAAATACACACAAAAAAAGGAAAAAAAATGGTAATTATGAACTCAAAAATTAAATTTGGTGATGCCTGATGATGCATCGGTTTCTTAAAGCCGTGCGTTTTGTAGGAGAGTAATTCCATCACCACCTTTGTGACTTTGTGTTCAGAGCTATTGGTACATGTAGTGAGGTGGCTAACACTTACAAAATTAACCAGCACTCAATAACTTACAGGCAAATTCAATATGCATTCATTTCATGTTACAGTTTTGGTGTGTT